TCCAATTAAATCAGTACGAAATCAAAGCAGCTTCATTCATGGCATTTTTGAAGAATATTTTTCATTCAAAGGTTCCAGGAATTGTGGGCAAACTACAGATGGCAGGGGAGCACCGATGCAGTAATAGCCTCACCTGTACAAACACATCAAAGTACGTATACGGGTCCTCGTTATTTAATCGCAAAAAGTTGCACGAAAACCTTCAGATCCGTGGGGTGTGTGTGAAGGAATTTCACTGAATGGGCATAATTTGCTGGGGCTTACAAAGAAATAAACATAATTGACAGAAACTAAGGAAAATGTGGTTGGCTTCAGCCTGTAATACCTCAGCACCACACCCGGTTGTGACACTGTCAAGGTAAATACTTTGTAACTCACCCAAGTTACAGTTAAAGGCAAATAGATTCACTGCAGTAGGAGTAATTGTGCATTTGCCGTGCCTTCTTTGTCGCGGTATTTATTCCTTCCATTGTGGTGGAGGCAATGATTTACCGCCTGAAGGAGTTCAAACTGTGGGAAAATGGACTCGATGGAAATTCAGTACCTGACCCCAATGGGCAATAAATTGATTCCGGAAAGGCAAGGCAGGTACGGCCTGAAGTCTCTTTCTTGCATCATGTGCCGGTGAAAACAACAACAGCAACAGCATCAACCATGCCTTATTTTATCCACCTATCACGTTTTTCGGGAATGTCGCTTGTAAAAAACAACAGATGCTACATTATGGACTTTATAAACTGGTTGTTTAAGGTAATGTACTGCATCTGCTCTAAGGTATTGTGGTTGGACTGTTGTGATGTAACAAAGCCAACTCTACGTACTGTATTGACAGCAAGATTCATTTATGTATACTAATCAGGCAGTTCTTGGAAAATCTGGGCCGGATATGAACACTTATATACAAACGTCTTGAGAAAGTTGATTATTTACGGGGTTGATATAGCCCTGAATAAATCTTTAGTGCCAGTTAATACAGGGAGCAGTAGAAATGTCGTATGCAGGCCAAAACTGACCAATATAAAAAGACAATTTAGTAGGAGTTCTGCCAGTGCTATATTCCACTCTATTGGTTTTGCATTTAAAGTGAGAGATCCATGGATCAAAAAGAAGTGAAAGGGTGAGGAGGTTAAAGAGGGGGAGGCTCGGGCTGTGACTGACTGATTAAAATGACATTGTGTGTGTCAGATGTGGTACCGTAGGGAGATTTCATATCCCCAACTCCACACACATCGACAGGATTTATCAGCCTAATGTAGTTCAGTGGACCTCTAAAATGGCACTGGAGATGGCTCAGCTAAAGTGCATGTAAAGCAGAATGAAAGAAGTAATGAGGTGAAAGATTGTGCTCAGTGCTCATCCATAATGTTGATTATCATATTTCCCCCCCCCCACCCCCAAACTATTTTGGACAGTTCACCATTGACTATAACAATACAGTGATCTCTCGCTACTTTGCGGTTCACTTCAGTGCATCGCGGATTTTTCAAAAGCATTCATCCAAAAAAAAAAAAAAAAATTGCGAAAATGCCGCAAAAGGTCCGCGAGAGGCAGCGAAAGTCAGCAAAACAACAGCGAGTCACATAGAGCAACATATACAGTACTACATGTATATGTTTACTGTATTTTGTTATTTCTAGACTAACCTAACTTATACATATTAGTATATAGCATTAAGTAATGTTAATTACAACAAACATTTACTTCTACATACATGTATACCATTACATTTGGCCTTATTAATATTATATATACTCATACACATTTACATATACCTGTACGGGGGGGGGGGGTACCTACTTAGCGGATTTTCCTCTTTCGCAGGTGATCTCGGTCCCCATTAATCGCAATAAATGAGGGATCACTGTAGACCGAAACAATTACTTTATGATATGTGACATAGTGATAGGAATGAAAATAATGACAGGACACGTTTTGCGTCTATATCAGTGTTGTATATCAGGTTTGCCATTTATCTGAACATATACGTGACACCCGTTCATCGTCATGTACAGAAGTTTATACGCCACGGTGGCAGCTAGAGAAGTATAAGCGGGGCAAAAGACTTGAATTCTAAATATCTATCACAAATGTTTCACTAAGGGGTGAGTTTAGGAGAGGACGCACACACAAGAATGACACACGCGCATACAAACACACGCACGCGCATATTAATCTTGAGCTGTGTGTCAGCTGGCATTTCCTATGCTAGTGGGAAATGTGGTGTGACAGACATTACTGCAGCACACAGGCAGAATAAGAAAGTAGTCCCTGCTTTTATGTTAGGAACACACTCAAGGTTAGACTCCTTTGTGCTCTCAAAACAGGGGAGAAAAGAAGGAAATATTGGATAGACAGACCTCATCAATGAAACCTTGTGCAGCCGACAGACTGTTAATCAGGAGATTTCCGTCTATTGCATAAGATGAGTAGGAGGTTTAGGCAAGGGACCACTTCCTACTCATGACAACATGGAGTGCATTCTAATGGGAACAACTGAAGCTGCAGCTCGATCAGTCCTGCATGAACTCACAGAGCTGCATAACCTGTAAATCTTATTACAGAGCATGTTTTCCCTTTCTCGGGGACCCATTTTACAAGCGACTTCTGAGACACATGCATCTGACAACATGCACGCCAGTGTGAGCCTATATGGCAATTAAAATTTAATAAATGCAAGCCGCACTCATTCGATGATAACTCTACCCTTGTCACCGGGGGAATAGAAGAGCAGACTAAAACCGCTTGGCGTGGCTAAACATAACACTGTGAGGGAATGGATGTGCCGCACCGCCTTATGGATACGTAACATGAATAATATTATTGTCAATAATGTCTATCTCCACATCCCCCTCATGTGGTTATGTATCACAAGCAAGAAACGTTTTTAGGCTTCAGGTTATGGAAAGGTGATTTCTGTGTTGTACATCACTTGGAAATATATTACGGTGCATTACCCTGCAGCAACATTATTCATTTGTAGAACTTCAAGGTGTAATTATTATTTAATTGAGTTGTTATTAATGCCAATGCGAGAATTACACGAATCTAGCTCAATTTTGAGTCGACAGAGGGTCGTCACAGAGAAACGTAAAGTCCCAAAGCCGATTTTGAGTTGTCTTGCGAGTGTCATAATGCTGTTCTTGTGTTTATCCATCACGTGGGAGGGGAGGGCCGTCCCTCCAGCTTGCACACATGCTGCCAATGTAATCAATCGACTATTTTCTCCCATGTTGTCATGTGTCTGTCGGATAATTCCGTCTTGCTCACTACTGTCACCGTCAAGTGTTGAATTTGTCAAGACGTTCTATGTTCTTGCTCTTTGTTTTTGTTCCCACCAGGTTTTTACCTTTCTAAGTTGTTTTTTTGTTGTAGTTGTAGTCGTGGATTCTGTATTATCTGTGTTTGAGTTTCTTCTTGTCTATTTATTGACACGCAATTACTGTTTGTGTTTTTATCCTTGCCTTTTTTTGCAAGTGTTTTTTGGTTGACTTTTTTTCCTGGTGTTGTGCCAGGGTTCTTTGTTGAACTTTGTCGGTCTTGCGAGCCATTTTAGTTGATACACTTTTTTTGTCAATTCTTTCAGAGTTCACGTTTCTGGAGTCTAATTCTGTGCGGAGCTTTGCGGAAACCTCACAGTGAGTGACTGGGGACAAGTACAGGGTTTGCTCCTCTGGCTTGAAGGCTCCAGTTATCTGCAACCCCGATGAGAACAACACATGCAGAAAATAGATGGATGATTTAATGCACAATAAATCCCTGACATGGTTGAAATCGACGGTATGTTTGCTGTCACTCTGTTCACTAAACAAAAGGAAGTGCATAAGGTCAGTCACCGACAAAGTGCAACGTTTGTCGAAGAAACACATGTACCTGATGGTCAGGCTAAATCTTCAATTCCAAGATTGAGTCACGATGGATACAGGTGTCAAAGTCAAAGTGTAGTTAAACAACACTTGGTAATTTCACACCACATAGCTCTGTGTTTGGAAAAGACTGAAATGGCCTACACTCTCAACAACCTCAAATATCCTCCTCACATTGAAAAATAAATGTGGGCTGCAAGCAGAAGTCAGCACACTTCAGTGATTTTCATTTCATTGATTCTGATTCTGATTTATATGTGCCTCAATGATAGCATTGAATTGAAATCGATGACACAACTACACAACACATTTCATCACAAAAAATGTACTTCTCTTTACGTCATGAACATCACTTTTTACTACCAGTTATAAGGGGCCTAATTTAAGCTGTCAAGGGTGCCATGTTTGTATAATTACACAGCGCTCCAATATAATGAAGGCGCCTGTATGCAAGTGTGTCACTGCTTCGACAAGACTGTCACTGCACATAAGCGGCTGCTCTAGCCAGTGCCCATGTGGGAAATCTGGCATCATTAAGCAGCTGGGCAGCCTCCATCTGGGACGTGGGGAGAGGTGGATCAACTATTATGAAAGAAGTCATCTCTCAGCAGGGACACAATATAGTACAATATGTATGTAATCAGACTGCAGACTCAAATCATTCCACTTTCAGGAATCTTAGAAATAAGCACACGTTCCTGTCCACATCTCATTCTATATCTCATTTGTTTTCCTTCAGAAAATTTGGACTTATAGTAGGGCATGTGTCTCAGAGGAGGCACTGTAACCCAGAAACACACTTCCCTGACACACTGGACTCACTCCAAACCACTGAGCGCTGAACAAATCTTCAGCAATACCCACCAGAGTGATGAAACCCAGGTGGCCCCACAGTGACGCTTACCTGGAACAGCGAGGATAGAAATATATCTATATATATCTATATCTGTATAGATATAGATATATATTTATAAAAGGTTGCAGGACCAGCCAAATTATGAAGAAAGTGTAGTCCAAAAAACACAGGACTTATTTTCATTCCATTGGGATTTTAAAGTTAGTGAGTTTGTGGTCCCACCAGGTTAATGTTCACATGATCAAACATCTGCCGACAGGGGCTTTGGTATGGTGTTGTACCTTGGTACGCTGGCATGCCATGCAGGGACCAGCCCACGTCCTGACGTCTCTCCTGAGAGCTGGCCAAACGAACTTGGCCACTACCACCTAGACACAGAGGAGTGTGGCGTTATCAAATGTGACATTCTCCACACACAGTCAGGTGAGGGCCGTACAGTTGGCTTGAATGTCAGAGTCTGCGGCCTGGTCACCAGCAGCATAATCAACTCCCAAGCTAAGGGTCCCCACGACTGACAGGGAGAGGCACTCGGCAACATTGTTATCCTTGCCAGCCATAAGCTGGGTGTCTGTAGTGACCTCAGAAATGGCGCAGAGCTGACATTGCTGTCGCAAAGACCACGGCTCAGAGGTCTTGCCCATTGCAAATTTCAGCGGCTTGTAGTCCACGAAGGCAGTGAACCGGTGACCCTGTCAGAGGAATCTAAAGTGTCGGGTGGCTAGTGCGGAGCGACTTGGAAAAAAAAAATCTTCTGTCATGATATAAGCTATTTTATATCACGCTGACGATATACCACAATATACTTTCAGTTTTTCTCTAAAAAAATAAACAACACACTATGACTGCTTACTTTTTCTCACTTTAATTTGAAGAGACATTAAACAGACCTACTGCAAATGAGAAATGTACTATTTTTTTTTCTTCATTGGCCCTAATCCTCTTCTATAGAAATGTATCCACTAGCGCCGTTACATAAAATTATCAAATGCAAACAGACATGAAGTAGCCTTCCTATTTTATTTTGACAGTGTAGCTCAAGAGTAGGGAATTCCGGTTCCTCGAGAGCCATATCCTGCTTATTTTAGATCTCTCTACTTCAATACACCTGATTCAAATGATCAGCTCATCAGCAAGCTTCAGAGAAGCCTGAAACGATCATGAGCAATTTATTCAGGTGTGTTGTAGTTGGGTGGGATCTGAAACAGGCAGGATATGGCTCTCAAAGAACCAGTGTTCCCAACCCTCGGCGGAGCTCAACATCGCAGTAACAACTCACAAATACATTTGTTACCATGAAAATGTAGGCCATGAACCCATTACCTGTGTCCTAATTGAATGTGGAGAATGGAACGTTGCATAACAGCAACGTGCCTGTGCTGGATAGACACGGTATGCCTTCGCCACTATCACCTTCTGACTGCATGGCATCATGGTCAACATAGCTGAACGAATGAATGATTTTCTCTTTTCTCATGATATATTGGAGAATAACCCAATTTCAAAAAAGGCAACATTCCGAAGTGAGTCACACAATCGAATGTGCAACAAATTTTTTGATAATTGAATGAAAGCTTTCGTGCTTTTAGGGAATACACCAATGTGCTTTCTTTTTAATGCTGGGATGTGTGCGTAATGCCTCGAGCTTGAATCTGTGAAGGCGATTTTCGTGATTAATATCACCACTTCAGGCCAAGTTTGAATCATGCAATCCAGACCTGTTGATTTGTATGAAGGATATGAGGATCAATGTTTGTCAGGCTTGCAGTAACCCGTGACTGATTAGTTAAGCAAATGCCATCAAGCAATGATTTATGGACAAAGATGACACGATCCCCAGGCGTCCCTACTTGCACAAAATGCTAATCAGCTCTCCTTTGTTTTATGAATCTTCTTCTTGGATAAGATTCTTCTGCAAAGTTAACCTGATATTTGAACTTATCATAAAGCTTCAGACATTGTTTAAGGGTGTCTCAAAAGTCATTATACGTTGTTTTTAATTCGTGTCAGGTAGCCTCTAATTATGAAAGATGAGTTATTGACATCTTTATACTTGCCAATTTTTGGAAGCAAATCAATGGCTCGCCAGTTGAAACTGAACAAAGAGCATGTCAACCTCACAAAATAAGACTATTATCTCTATAGACTAAAATGATTTCAAAACAAAAATTGCAGAGTTAAAATGTAAAACCTGTGAGAGAATAAAATGATAAAATACCAAAAATGAAGAAAGGTGTGTCATACAAATTAAAAAGGTCCTACTCAATTCATTCAAAACAATTCATCCACATCAACAACTGCTCTTCCTACACTGTCCCACTGTCCCAAGGTGTCCCCCAAGGTTCTGTGCTTGATCCTCTTATCTTCATCCTCGACCTTCTACCCCTCGGCCAAATCATTCGTCATCATGATCTCCAGTTCCACTGCTACGCAGATGATGTCCAATGTACATCTCCACCAAATCGTTCACCCCAACAACCCACGTTCGTCTCACTTCATTTTGTGGTCCAAGTCTCACGAGATTTCCCCACAAGATTATCCAACGCTCTTTTTAAAGTAACAGTTCCATTTGTTAAATGCTCCATTTATTAAACGAGGCAGCATTCCTTGAAAAATGCAGTGGGTGCGGCTTATAATCAGGTGCGCTCTATAGTCCGGAAATTACGGTACTCACCATGCCCTTGCTCTTTGTATTTGTGTCAATGTGCACTGTCTAAAACAAAGTTATCTTTTCTCAGTCTTAATCGTGCTTTCATTGAATAGGAGTTCTTCAAGGTTGTAGCCTTTGAGCTCAGCATCAGCTTGACAAGCTTTATTTTTCTTCTAAGAGCTCATTTGGTACCATGAAACATGACTGTCCCTATGGAGGCATGTCCCAAGGGCACATGTCTGTGTGTGTGTGTGTGTGTGTGTGTGTGTGTGTGTGTGTGTGTGTGTGTGTGTGTGTGTGTGTGCGCGCGCGAGACACTGCGATGCAGAGAGAGTGTTTCTGTTCCTTTGACATGGACAGCAATTGAATTTAGAACGTAAAAAGAGCAATTCATCAGCCCATAGGAGAGACTATGATGAAGTGCTGGATCCTATAATCTCTAGGTGGCCTGTCAAGGAACAGACATGAAATCATCTCAATAAATAAGAAGTAAAGAACACATAAGCAGAGCGAATGTAAGGGGAATCATGGCCCATCATTTTTTGACCATTGAATTGAAACTAAAGTGGATTTTTTTTCTTCATTGGTGAAATCGCTAAATCAATCACTTTGGGTGCTAAATGACTGTGTGGGGGGGGACGTCCACGGTAAGCTTGTAATTATTCAATGCAATTTATGTTATTATTGCATTGCCAACCACAAAGATCAATTCAGAAAGGTTGCAGAGAAATATGTCAAATTATTGCTGTTCACCACTTTTTTTTTTTTTGGTCCACAGTAAGCTTGTAATCATTCAATGCAATTTATGTTATTGCATTGTCAACCAGGAAGATCAATTCACAAAGGTTGCAGCCTTAATGAGAAAAAACAAACAGAAACAAACCAACCAAAACCATAAAAAATGACATCAAATCTTTTAAAACTGCAAAAGGGACACAACAAAGGATTTTTTTTCTTTGGGGTGAGAAGCAGCATGATGAATAATTAATTGCACACCCGTACCTTGAAATATGGTATCTTAGATCGGAAATTATTTTAATCGGAATGGACAAACAACCTCCTACCACTTTGTATGTTTCCTTGCAATCTACTAAAACCACACACCATTTCAAAGCAAACAGCGATAAACAAAATGTATTACCCTTGTTGCTCCATACAGACCTGGAGCCATTTGGAGTAGACACATAATTACATTCATCAGAATGCAGATGGCGAATGCTTTCTTCTTTAACATGGCTGCGGGCTGTAGAAATCAAAATGAGGAATGTGAGTAGCCTTGTGGACGATAACCAAAACCTTGACGTGATCAGGTTCAAAGTGAATATTTGCAAGAAATTTCAGAAAATGTGTCTGATAATCGCTATTTATTGTGCCTTTCATTTTAATATATATTCTCAAACAGGCTAAAAGAGTTTTGCTTGACGATTGTTTTTTTTTTTTTGGGCAAACTCCACCAAAATGCATGAATTCAATTGCAACTTGGGTTCATTTGAACGTACTTTAGTTGGGTGAATTTCTTTTTCTTGTTTTTTTTTCTTCCTCCTCAGCGACTGAAACAGGTAGACTGTGTTTAAAAAGTCATCTTACATTCCTTTCTTGTTTCCATCCCCCTTCGAATGCCCAAAGCAACCCGCCTGTGTTCACTATCAGGTGCCATCAGCAATGGGAGTGAAGGTGCTTACATGGAATCCCATCAAAACAATACAATGGGAAGGGATTTTGGGGTTGGTTGTGCTTGTGAGAGAAAAGAACTGTGCTCGTTACATTGTCAATTCATGCCGAGTTGAATCTACACTCACCATCGGGCATTATTTGCTTCTTAAAATGCCGCGTGAAATAACGAATGCATTATTCATGACGTTTGACAGTATGAAACAAAACAATCGCGGCATTCTACAATATTTTTCATAAAATCCGGCTGCTCTGAGTACAGGAAAGGATAAGAAAAGACAAACATACAAAATATCTTATGAGGTGTGTCAGAAAAGTATGAAATATGTATTAGATGATAGACAGCAAAGATGATGATATCTGGTGAAATTGACCTTTTTATTTTTTATCGTATTTCATGTTAATTTTTTTTTTACAGCCATTGAACTGCCAACAAATATATCATTGAGCACCAGCACAAGCGCAGACACAATAGACTGACGAATGATTTAATTTTTTTTTTCCTGTTGGAGGAGGAGGAGCTTGGCTTGTCGTGCTATCTCACGTTTGGTGTGAGCATATATTTTTTATTTTTATTTTTTGAACAGAAGCTCCTTCTGTGACGCACAGCAAAGCAGTGGGGCGACTTTTGTAGAGTTTTAAATCCTTGGTGTTAGCTCAACAGTACTTTAATCGCTGAATAAATGGCTGGCAACAGATCAGTCAATAACACATTAAAAAAAAAAAAAGTGGAAAATCCTGCCCCCGGTGACCCTCTCCATCCCCCCAAAAAACAACCCCCCCCCCAGCAAACCAGTCAAAATCAACATTGATCTTCCAAATAATTTGGATACTAAGACCTGGATTGATGAAGATTTCAAAGGGAAGGCGCCGAGTTTTGTGTTTGTGTGCGCTGTTGGAAAGGGTGTAAATGTATTCAAGAGAGTTGTGTGCTTTTTCCACAGAAAGTAATGCAATGACAGAAAGAAGTTTGAGGTGACAGAAATCGAAGTGTGAGTGGAAGAGACAAAAAACACAATTGACTTACAGATCACTCTGCCAATTTTTTGG